ATATCCATGAAATATGATTTGATTTCTCGACGTAGGTTGTGATATATATATATATATATATATATATATATATATATATATATATATATATATATATATATATATAGGTGAAGCTACTAACTAGATATCTTTTTGATATCTGTCTTTCATTCATTAATAAAATATATTCATTGAAATCATCAGCTAAGTTGTCATAATTATATTATTTCCATTACACACTCTAATCTTAGATATGAAATACCATATAACATCTCAAAGATGCATTTAAAAACAGCTCACATAAACGAGACAATATACTGCCAAATAAATAAGAAGCATCTTACCAGGCAGATTGAATAAACGTTGAAGATCGATCTGAAGTAGGGTAACGGCCACTACAATGAAATATAGTAAGTCATGTAAAAATACGACTTAACACGTAGCTCAGATAATAAGCCGCAAACATAAAGTTATCAATTTTACAAGTACCTATTTCCTGAGAACCTGAGGAGATTAACGAAATCGTCGAGAATAAATGTTAACGGTTATTGCCGGTAAAAAAAATCATAATCGGGAGGGCTCTTGAAAGTTTATAAAATAAAGATTTCTAATCTAAGTGAAATAAGTCATTTCCTAGTAGGAAATCCTTGAAGTTGTAGCTATACTGTGAGGAGGGATAGTTTACAGTTCCATTTTGTGCATTTTCTTAGGTAAGGTGTAAGGTTGTAACATATTTTTTGTGAATATTTTGTAGCTGTTAAATTTGGTCCCATATAATATATATCTAACAGAGAGGTTTCTTTTTCTAAACAATATAGTTACTTACACATGAAATAAATATTTTTAAAAATTTTCCTTGTGTTTTAATGAACTGATGTCTACTTTAAATAAAATAATACTAATGAAAAAAAAATTGCATAATGAACGTATTCAAGATAAAACCATTGATATGTTCAATTACGTGCATTAGCGTTAGAGATAATGGACTCTTCTTGCATTAACTGATACAATCACTCGTATTCTAATTTTTTACTTTTACAAAAAAAAATTAATACAATTATTTTTGATTAGATTATTTTACTGCCCGTTAAGATTTCCAAGATAATTCATACATTGAACATATTTTAAATGTTGGTAGAGGTTTATGTCCCATAATTAAAAAAATAAAAATAAATTCTGTCGCTTCAAACTTTCGATATATATAGACTAGTTTGATAAAACTAATCAGTGCTATTATTTAGGCTGTCTAACTGATACAGGTTCAACTTGCGCGAGAAATTATTTTGCAGTTATTAAAATGAAATTGTATTGTTCCTATTTATAAACTAACTCGCTTTTGTGATTTCCAAGAGCGAATTCAGCCATTATTAACAAGAACTGTTGTTTTAAAATGATTGAACGTGAACAGTCTTTTTAGTCTCTACTAAAGTATGTAACTTAGCTGCAGTAAGAATGTTGACTCAGTGACCAACAAATGCAGATCATCTAAGGCTGCTGAACGTTGTAATTAAATTACAATATGGTAGATTGACAGTGTATCATATGACTTAAATATACGGTCAAATCGCTTTGCAATATTCAGCGTATATTTACTATTTGATAATGATAGTAATAATAATAATAATAATAATGAAAACCATATCTTCGAAAAGTTTGATTATTGAGTAGTAAACAGTATCATGTTTGCCTAGTCATAAGGAGTTGAACTGAATCCTGCTAACTACCGTAAATGGCCTAACATTTATCCTAGTTGACAATTTCTCTAAATATTGTTTTTCATGAAAATGACTAAATTACCAGTTTGCTCAATTAATGAATTAATTACTTTACGAATTGTATTACTACTACGAATAATAAAAAATCCAAACCTAAACTGAGTTGAAAAAAATGATAAGTTACGTTCTTTGACTATATCTATATATACAAGCAAAATAAAATCAGGTTGCTTTGTTGATCACTTTCACTATACAATTGAATTAGTTGTCAAAAAATCGAGTCTTCTTCGTTCATTTGAAATTATGCGATCAGTGAGAAATTTAATACAATTTCATTGAAGGATCCAAATCTTCAAAAAACAAACCTTTCCCTAAACGCTTATTATATATTTCTAAATATTAGCAGATATTAATTTACCAAGACGTCGGTTAAATTAGTATTTCTAGCATATTGTTTAGCAGTCCCTATTTACACAACAGTATTGCATTATCCAAACGACCTATTCAAAGTAAAACCAACAAATAAACGAATTATTTAAACTTTTCGAAGACAGACTTAAATTGACTGTGTTTCCCTCAAGCAAAAATAAGAACAGGTGCAATTAAACTGGTATAGAGATACACAAAATGCATGCTCTATGTGTGTTGTATTTTTACCAATCAGAAATCCACCTTTCTGTGCTCGATGTAATAAAACTGAACTAGTTAAGAAACCAAATCTCTCAATTTGAATCATATTTCAAAATATTAGTGACAATGTGGTTATTAATTAGATTACATATGTAATTAATAAAACGCTGTTTATTAAAATTATATGTAAGATTGTTGACTCAATAGGCTATTTATTGTTTGAGTGTTCCAAAAAGTGCACCATCGATATACCTACAAAATGCATGTTTACATTCAGTTTTCACACTTGAAATCGAAATAATTACCGAGGTTTTAATCGGCAACCGGTATTTTTACTTTCTACACCTGAATAAACTGATCAGTAGTAATTGGTTAAAGTGTAAATTATATTTGATTATTCTTCAATCATTTAATGATGTTTCTCACGGTAAGACCTTTTCTGAGGTGTTGTGTTTAGATGTTAGGCTTTCGTTATTTTATTCTGTTCAGTCTAGCCTTGAATCCCAGTTACACAGATATTAATTTCTCATCTGTTATTCAACGTGCCTGGTAATCATTAGTGATATATTTGCCTTGTAACTAAATTTTTGATTAAGTCATTTCTAATGGTAAAATATTGAACTATATCCCTGGACAAGTTATTCCTCTTAACTGGGATTTTCAAATTTTCAGCGTAAAGTTTTCATGTAATCTTGATCATTTCTCAATGAGGAAATCATATAAAGTTGAAGTAGTGAACAATTCAGGTATTTGATGGTACATAAATGATACTTTATAAAATCAACCTATAAATGATACAATTTATGTAAGATACTGTTCCGCAGATTGTACAAATAAACAATATTCTTGAGGTCTACACCACAGACGTCAGTTTGAACTAGATAGAAAGAAAAACTGAGTAAAGTTTCTTCTGAACAAATAATTAGTCTACGAAACCGAAAATGCAGATGTAAAGCACTGATTTTATTACTTAAACATTTAGTTTACTCTTTGATCGTACCGCATTTTTCAAAATATTTTTTTTCCTGAATTAATTTGTTCAATGCAATGAGGTTAATGAAAAATTTCCCCCTATTTTTATTATAGCTTAACATTCCCCCCTCTTTATACAAAAGAAATTAATTTATAACAAAAAAATTTCAAATTATTCTATTACTTTTTATCACTAAACTCGATCGGAAATTAAGTCAATTTGTAAAGTGTAAATTTTTGTTTGTTTTTTTTCGAATAATCTGTAACAATCTGAATACAATCAGTTCAATTAGTTATTCTCATGATAATATTCTTCATATTAGTGAACTTGAAAAATCAGGTCTTTTATGAATTAATTTAAATTCTAGTGTATTGTTTTCGAGTAGCTTTTTGATTTCAAAGATTTTTCTTTTACACTTTACTGATTCAAAGAATTTTTTCTTTTATTCAGTAAGAAAGAAATGAGGATAGTTGACCTTCCATAATGATCACCAACGTGTTAACAACCGTCATCATTATCACAGCCACTGCTTAAATCTCTTGTGAATAATTTTTTTTATCCCTAGAGGATTTTATTATTTGCATATAATTATGAAAGCATAGAATAGACGAAATAGAGACATTATCATATTTATGCAATAAATTAAATAAGTGACTAGAAATTAGACTAAAACAATTTCAAAACAGTTTAAAGCTATGCAAAATTAGATTAGAGTTTGAAAAACCATAAAAATCGGAGAAAGTCACTGAATTAAATTAACAAGCATATTGATAAAATTGAAAATCAGAAAAACACACTTTGAATAAGCCGAATATCTTCGAAATCGGTCACTTTAATGTCTTTATATGTGCCCCTAGAAAGTTTGACTGTGCGATAGTCAATTAACATGTCGGTAAAATACATAGTTATTTCGAAATTATCGACTTACTTGTGCATCTCAAATGCTTTTGAATTAAATCCGATGGCCTGGTCATCAAGTGTTGATAGCGATCTTTAGGTGTTTACTTATTACTGTTGATATCATCCAAATTACAATCCAAATAAAATGGAATCTATATTACAAAGCATACATTTTAAAACAATTAGCTGACTGTCTGTCAACTTCAATTTTCCAGAAAAATATATCAACGTACGGTCTTTTAAGCATTCAGTTGTTATTCTTAGTTAAATAAAGTGACAGTTTGTTTTGATATTATTAATTATATAATATAAATCAGTAAACAATTTATGCATTTCATTCCCCAAACATTCATGCTTCGCTAAAATGTAAATGTATTTTCTTTTAAAATTATTGTCCTGTTTACGTATGTTAATATGTGTTTTACACAGTTAATCTGTTCACACCTAACTTGTTATTCATCACATTAATTGTTTGCGAAATTATTAAAAATGAAAATTGTTTTTGGCACATTGGCAAATCGATATTATTCCAGCTGTTATTTCACGAAACCAGCTTAATTGTTTCACTGATCACTTATGGCGTCACATTTATATTTTCTAGTGGTTGTTCTTCAATATATCTTAAAATCTAAACATTGTAAATTGGCTGTATACGTGACTATTTTAAACAATAATATTCTATCATTGATTTGTATATTCATGAACAGAAGCAACTGTCAAAATTGTTAACATATTTTGATAACAATATCTGAATATATTTATAAACACTGGATGTATGTTTTTAATGATAAGAGGCTTATAGAATGATTACAGGTTCGTAGGGAATAAATCTATTTGTATTTTCCAATCAAAATCCACAATGACAAAATAAGTTTACTATTTGACTTGAAGCAAGTGGTCAAATGTTATAAACGTGGCAACAGACAAACCCCTGGATAAAATGATTTTACAACTTAAAAGAAATCCCTTGTAACTTAGCTAACTGAGTGGTATGACTATTTTGTATGTTGTATCTGATATTTTGACTTCTTGATAGAGAGACATAATTCTGATTCATATCTTAATAAACACTCATCTAAATAGAATGACCGATAATTTGACAGATAATCCGGATTTAATAAAATAACTAGAAGAAATACATATCAATCCTTGATTATAAACAGATACTTTTCAAAACAGGTCTGAATCATAGATAGTTGTTGGGAAATGAACGAAAAACTATGAACAGACAGTTTCGATCTTGGCATTGAATATCAATTATCCTCTTTTGTTTTCACGACACATCAATAATTTTTTAAACTAGTCTTTCGAACCATGACACTATCTGTTATTTCAGGAACTGTAAGAAAAATCTAAATTTCTTACTATTGCTTTGTATTTTTTTAACAATCTGATCAAATAACAAGTTCATCGAAACAACAAATCGTTGTCAGTTTTCTTCACAATGCAGAGAGACAGACAGACATATACAACACAGAACTCCGTACATAAGTACATCAGTTCAGGTTGCCGTACCACGTCAGCACAGAGACGTAACTGTCAGTTCAAATCCAAGAGTGATAGCGATAGTAGTAGTATTAGCAGCAATAGAGAAGATTAGGGAGTGAAGATATAATTCGAGAAGTATAATTCAGTGAGATAAATTTAGAAGGAGAAAGACAGAGATTATGAGGAATTCAGAAGGTTAGAAATAAAAAGCACACAAAGAGTGGATGCACCTGCGCTATCGCAAACGATTCTGAGCCATGTCGTTAAAGGTCACTAACCATTGGTGACTTTCGTCTCGCGGACCCCAACCAGATAACCCACATCTACCAACATGACTCAGTCCATTTGTTAGTGACTTCATGGATTTCTACCATGTTTTGGTCTGGTCGCCCCTAACTTTCTTCTAACCTACTTCCACACCACAAAATATAGCTTCACAATGCAATTCCAATTAACCCAAAAAACTATAAACAAATATTATGTCTTCATTATAAATTATTATCAACAATTTATAATATGAAATACTTTATTGACAGCATTTACTTTTATGTAATGCCTCAATGAAGGGCCAGTTAAATTAATTGAATAACAAGAAATTTGAAATAGGTGTTGTTCTTTTTTTATTTGTTTTTGTTTCAACTTACAGATATAAATATTAATAATGATGATGATGAAAGAAATGTAATCGATGCACAATGTTGTAGTATACCTTGTTATAATACACCTGTATGTCTGTCTTACTACAGTGCAATATGTCAATCAAATAAAACCAAAAACATGATGTTGGAAGAAAAAATTTGTATGGATGGTAAGTTAACACATGTTAGTTGTAAATTAATTAACATTACATATTGAAAGTAGATTACTGTATACTATTGCTGCTTAACTGTCATTATGTACACCTACTTGCAGTGAGCGTATTAGATGGCTGAAAACAGAGAAATTGTGTTGAGTTGTGACTAGATAATTTTCTTTTGATAAAAATACAACTACTTATTTCGACATCATATATTCCTCTCCTATGAGACCAGGAAATAAGGTCATATTAGTAATTGAGCAGGTTCTTATGCTGATACTTTCCCCAGAAAATAGACTTCAGCAAGGCAGACTGACTGTCATTTAGTGAAAAAGCGCTTGGTCAATCAAACCATCCAAATCAAGGAATGAAATTCCACCAAAATCAAGATTCACCCTATATAAATCCAGTGAAATCTCGATAGTTTGTGGTACTCGGAGAGAGATTATTGAATTTTCCGATAATCAAACAGTCAGTATGATTGCAGTGCTACATTACACTTCACTCTGTTAGCATTCATGAGTTATGATTTCAGTTGCTTTCGTTAAGTGCATTGAAAATTTTAATCAATTGTAGTGCAGCTGTTTTTGTAATCAAAAAGTATCCGAGGATATAGGATTGCTAATTCTCCTCTAAATGAAAAAAAAATATATAATGATTTACCTTGGTGCATACAACATATATTTCAAAGCGTAATAGATTCATACATATATTCACTATTTTAGTAAACATAGTTCAGTGTCACCAGGCAGTTAAAAACGATTTTATGACAGTATCTTAATAATAAAGCAATCAAAATTATGCTCGCAAGTTTTAATTATCCTTGTGAAACATAGTCCAACGACCGCGATTCACCAGCTAACTCTGTCCTGGACTCTAACAATTTAAATGACAACTTCATACTCATATATTCGAAAGAAATATCAAATAAACTGAACATTTTGAGAATTTACTTATTCTGAAAATGAACAAGAGTTGGATGAAATTTCAGTCATATTAAAAGTTACAGAAACACATGAAACAGTAAACTATGTTTCTGTTCTCCGATACACTTAAAAATCATAATCAACTGATAACTTATTGAAAACAAATATCGATTATCGAAAAATATAGGTATAGTGAAATTCTCACTAGGCTTTTCCCAACTTTTATAAAAACATATTTGTCAGACATTCGTTTTACATTGAATCTGACACGTTGCATTATAATGGCTCAAAAACCAATGTTTATCTTGATTATTAGTTAGAACGGTTAGTTTTACAATGTAAAATTCAACTAAAATAATTTGTGAATGAAAAGCAAATGAACATAGAGACTAGACAAACTTTCTTTTTTTTTATAGAACGTGTTCATTTTTCGAATTAGGCTGTGGAATATAAAAGTTCGATGTAGGATGCAGAAAATGTTCTTGAATAAAAGTGCTAGTAAAACAAATTATGTTCAAATAACTAACGTGATTTTTTTCATTAAACAACAACAGAGTAGTTTAAAACATAAGTTTAGAAAATTGAAGATTATTTAGGCATTCTGTATGCTACTTCGATGTCAACAGATTAAGTAGTTAATCACTTCTTGTGAAGGTTAGTAAAGAATAACAAATGACGAAACATTGAAAATAATCTGAATAAATTAATAGACATGTGTTTATCATATACACCACTCAGTTTTTACCGAAACATCGAATTCGAATATCGACTATTAACAACACCGAATACCGTCAGTAAATAACTGTACGTTTAGTACAATATAACTCCTTTTAACTTCATTAATATTATGGTGCAGTAATGTTTGAAATAAAGACAATGATAAAACATAACGATTTCACGGGACAAGATCTTAGGTTTTGACAAATAAGATCCCAGAAGCTGTAACTGCTTTATAGGAAGGAAACTTTGTTGGTCACGAAGCAAAACAAATTTCTGATACATTTTACTGGCCACATTTTAAAATTCATGTTTTTCTTAGATAATCTAGCTTTTTCATACTCCACAGGTAATACGTTTCAGATATCAATAACCCCGGAATTCGATTTTCTCAATGGTACATTTATGTGTCATTTAAAACAATCCAAATTGTCACGGGGATTTCGATTGAAATTTTCACTAGATTTATCTGAGCTTATTGAACAAGAGGTCAACACTCGACCTATATTTTCAGTTGAAAGTCAACACAAGTTTGATGCTACTGAGAAATACAAACTAAATATCAATGCACTAGATGTTGAAATTTCAGTGGACGAATTGAACGAAAGTCTTTTCCACAGTTTCAAAGAGGCTATCCTATTAGGTCGAAAAGTGGAAACACATAAAGGTATGATTGTTTGATTAAAAAGAATGGTTTTTTTCTTAACGTTTATCATTATTCATAGTCTATAGAAAAGGTTAATTTACATCCGTATTTCTCAGATTATCACAGGCGGAGTTTATCTGCTTTCTCTGTAATAATAGAGGCCTTTGATGAAATTTTCGCGCATAATAAAGGCAGTAATAACACGTATGTAAATGAATAGTAAATGTTAAAAATTTGATAGCGAACGGTAGCAGTTGAACAGACAAACCAACAAACTAAAGTCACAAAAGTAGAAAAGGTAATGATTTAAGAACATAAGGAAAACTATATTTGGGATGACGTGATTAAGCATTGTCATGTTTGTGAAAATTAGGGAACTAACCGAAAATACTTCAGTGACATGAAACAGAAGTACCATTACATTTTACCGGTAACATAAAAGGTAATTTATTTCTCTAGTGTTTAACAGAAACGGAGGCTATCATTGTAAAAAAAAACGTTTGGATTTCCTCAGATTGAATCCACCACACCACTGTACATCGCATTACAACTGTCATGACAAGATGAAAGGATAATTTAGATTTCAAATGTATAGAATATGCATTATTTAAAGTGAAGCAACGGAATATTATTTTTAATTTGTTATAAATCAAGAATAGACATTTATTAATCACTCAGTTCAACAGAATAATTAAATGTGTGAACTCATAGATATAAGAGAGAGTTCTTGAACTATATATAGACTTAGGGATTTTTGATATACTTATTTTCATCTTGATATCGTTTATCGCTAATAATTACCTTACAGTTATTCATGATATTAAGTTTAAAATTTAAGAAGAGTTTTTAGTAACAATAAAAGTAAATATTTTATTCGTTGTCAACATCCGAAATTAGTAAGAATTAGGTTGGATTTATAATCGTCTACTTGGAAAATTAAAGTGTTTCAATATTCTTAACCACTATTTTTTTGAACAGGTGGCAAATTTCCCGAGTCATAACACCTTTTTCTGGGTAAAAGATGTGCATAAATCGCACTGCTCAAATTATACTGTTAATTACCAATCATTGTTAAGATAAACAACGCAAGTGTTAGTAAATTTAACTGTCATTTATTTCCATAATAAGTTATTTAATCTATAGATATCAAATGATTTTCTATATTTTTAGCATATGAATTTTTTGTACATAAGCCTCCAACGACCAATAAGATTAAAAGCATTCATTCGCCTGTTGAACATCTCCTACATATGGACTCAGCATTTACAACGATCCATAGCAATAAACCACATGCATTTAGTTCTATAAATTGGAGACACAATGGGTGTGATTCAGATATCTTTCAAAATATCAAGCTGACAAAAGCCTTGTCTGATCCTTCTTCTAAAGGTCATCCAGTTGACATTTATCCAGCTTCAAATGTCAAAATAACAAATGCACCACGTTCCATGTCAAGTAAAGAACACAATGTTTATTCGAATAAACCGCACAGATTTCGATTCAATGATAAACATACAATCTTATCGAGAGCCCACATTAAACTGTCAGGTAATATTTATATATGTTGATATATTAAACATTTTAATCTAGTATTCAAAATAAATATTTTGCTCAGTCGTATACATATTGTTCTGTTTTATTAGCTCTTTAATAAAAATAAATATTTTTTTTGCATCTTACAAGTAAGTGAACCCTCATTGTTTCAGAAAATCCATATTTGATAAGTTGTCGAATAAACATTTTTACATCGATAGATTTTGTTTTCTGTAAATTTTTGAAAATAATTTCAATTATTTCTAGTCTTATAAAGTAAGGATATTTTTGTTGACATCTGAGTATCTGTATTCACCAAACTAATCCTGGGGTATGCGTTTTCTGGAAGAATCTTCCAACACTTGCTGTGAATGCGATCAGTCTTGCTACTTTCATTCAAATTGAACACTAAGTGAATTGTTGATAATAATAATATTTGTTATAAATTTGAGTAGAAACTTGAATTTCTAATGTTTTTTCTGGTTTATTGCAATTGGCTTCTTCCAATAAATAAATAAACAAAATAACAGATTTAAATGTACAATAATTTAATCTCTCGTAACATACAACGTTTAGTGTTTACCTCTTCGTGTTCAGCACTTCATTTATCTAAAGATTTTCATTCAAAGTATGTTGAAAGCACAATGATAACTGTAATTATCTTAATATTCTTAGTTTGTTCATAACTGAAGTAAACCATTTATGTTTAATTCATTGTATTCTTTAGATCTAATTATAGGTGATATGTTCAAAACTATAAATAATATCTAATGTATGAAATTTTGTTTCCGAATTTATCATATTGCTGATAATTTTAAACAGTGTAAGACTGTGAAAATGAATACAATCGCTGTCACTGCTGAACTAAATAATAAAATCTATTCTATTTTGTGGTTCATTGAAACTTTGTTTGTAATTATTTTTTAAAAAATAAAATTAGTAAAAATATTATTTCATGAAAGTAATTACATATACTAACTACTGATACCAGTAACTTAATAATACTACGAAAAACCAAGTTATATTACGATTGAATAACTAAAATATACGAACATGTAGAACCACCAGTGACAAAGATATTTACAAAGCGTTTTTGGGTTATTCCAACTTCTCCTTCACTTCATTTTTCTTTCGTTAATAACTGCTTTCTAAACTTGTATACCAAAGTGAATATTTTTTATGTTCTTGTAGTTCTTCCCTGTGGATTTATTTCATGTATCATTTGAGTTCTCTTAAATATTCTACTCAACAGTATCAGTAATATAAAAAAGAAGACAATAGGTTTATAAAATTCGTAGTCCAATTATAAGCTTTTACTAAATTTATTATAATTTGATATCATTTAAAAACAATGACGTTGTGTTAAACTGATTGTGTTTCGTGTAAAATGTTGATTATTCTGATTAGTTGACATATATCAAACAGATTTTATTTATTAGTTACCGAAGCAATAAATACAGACGAAAAGCTTTGAAAATATAACCGATTACAAGATAAACGTTATTTGTAGAGCATAAACTAGTCATTTGAATTATTATCGTAATTGCAACTTTTACTGCTGTTCGCATTTGCAAATTAATGTGAAAATTTTACAACATAAGTACGAGCATTTTGAAAAACAGTATTCACTGAAAAGTTTTAGAACATTTACATGCCACAGAAATAAACTTAATGCATATATTTCAGTATATAAAGAGCTTTTACAAACAACTATGGTAATCGTCACTTCACAAATGTCTTCGGTAAAATTTCCAATCATTAAATTGATTTATTTCGTTGCAATACCTATTTCGGTAAATGCTCGCTTGTAACTGATATTTGTAGACCAACTGATTTGTTATTTACTTATTGCCATAAATCAAGATACAAATAAAAGTTATCTGTCTAGTTATATTATAGTTCTTATTAAGAATTGTGTCAGGGTATACATTTATTCAATTTCTAAAATTTTGTTGATTGATGTAAGTAAACAGCTTAGTCTCACTTTGAATATATGTCAAATATAAATCCGTATTTCTTTCAACAGGTAAGATGATCTCATGCTGGTTTTTCGATTGATCAGAGATCTTACATTTTAAAACTTTTGATTTCTGTCTATATTTTACGTGGGATAAGTGCGTTGCTTTTCAAATGCGCCATCAATTACACTATTGCTGAAATGAAGAGACTAAAATGGGTTTACATATGTTACACTGTTTACTCTTCATAGCTTGATTCAAAGCGTAGTTCGCTTAAATTTTGAGATATTCAGCTTTATCTGCAATGCACAATATTTAAGTCTAAAATAATTAATAAGTTCATAAAACATATAATAGATTGACGTATGTGATAAACATTGCTTCTAGATATTATGGTATAATTTTTTAAGATATTTTTTACGAGAAATCATTCAACTCTTCAACTTCTAAACTGTTTCAAGCATTCTCACTGTTTCACAACTTTCACATTTGACTGGCAAGTAAACATGAATTAAGTTGGAAAGTAAATCTTTGACTTTCTTTTGAAATATGACATATTTCCCAAAGGAATTACCTTGTTAACTGAAAAATTAAAGATCTCTGTTAGATATCAGTAAACTGATTTTCTTGACTTAAATGTAAAACAGTATATTATTAGGAATTATTTTAAATTTACTTACCAAATCTAACAAAACCAGTTTGCTAAAAAGAGTACAGTTGCAGAATTATACAGATACTTTTACTGTAGAAAAGTTTCAGAAACTGAAACAGATTATGAACTACATTATTTTCCATTCTGTGACAAGAAAAGTATCTTAAATGTGTTATTTATTTAAAACCAAAGGCCTTCAAGCATATTTACAGTTCAAGCAAACAAAAATTTTTCTAATAACTATCTCACTAAGATATACGATGAGAAACATTTGAATACTGATTTCTATTAGGTATTATGAAGACATAACTAAAGAATTATTTATTCAGAAAGTATGTATATTTTACGCTCGTCTCTACGTATGCTTAAACTATTACGAGTTCACCTTAGTCGAATAACGAGAACAAAACAATGAACCAGCGTTCAGGTAGGCTGCTGTGAACCCTTGACCCAATTGTACCAGCAAGAAGTCTTGATATAGTGTAGAAAGTGTATTCTACAAACACCCAGCCAGCACACAACAAATCCAAGCATTCAAATTGCGTTTATTTATACTCCACGGAGACGTCCTTGGGACGGTCACAAAAGTAGCACGTTGAAATGACACAGTGACCAATCACAGCCGAGGATTTCCTGGTGGGAAATGTGATCTGAAGGTCAACGGATCAGTCCACGAAATAAATCCAAAATAAAGATATTTATCAAGCGAGTTCTGGGGATCTAACATCCCTAACAGTAGATACATATAATAGTATTCTACAAAATCTACAAAAAAATCAATTCAACAATTGTCTGTCATTCACTTCGACTGCAATCTTATTTTCATCTAGGTCTTTTCTTCAACTCTTATTCCTTCAGTCTTGTATTTACTTATTCAATAATCGAATTTCTAAATAATACATAGTTAGTATTTTCAACTTTATAATTATTAGAAAAATATACATTATTCCTCTATTAATTCTGTTTATTAGATTATTTATGAAAAAAAGGCTTGATCATCATCATCATCCATGCTAGCATAGACTGAGACAAAAACGCACGATATGGTCAAATTTCTGTTCCGATTATTTTCTGTTCATTCTCATTCTCTCCCGTTTTTTTTATGTTTATACATATGGGTGGTAGATTTTGTAGCATTTGAAACAAGTGTCCATCTTAATCCTAATTCAGTAGTTTGTTTGATCTATCATTGTCAGCTAGTATGTACACTTATGTTCACATTGATGTACGCACACTACTCTGAGCTCGATTTCATTCTTCCCTATTTTTCACTTTCTGCATTTACTTCATTGAAATAACATAACTTGTGACAAATTAAATTAACTTCATTTGATAAACCGATTTCATGTAGCAAAGAAATATTTCATTGATAGAAAAAAAACTAACCAGAAATATGATACAAAAATTATGCCTAAAGGATATATGGATATATATATACATATATTTTTGTTTTTTTCACTATATAGAAAGAAAATTTAATCGAATAGAATTTTGTGAATAAAAAGAAAACTTCTTATAAGTTGTTTCCATTGTATACATAAATTTGATTATCAATATAAGTGTACAAATCACTTGAATTGTTTGTTATCATTACGGTCAAAGTGAATTTCATATTCGCTAAGTGGTGAAAAAAATTCACAAAGTTTAATCGATCAACATGATGACTGATTGATTCAGACCTCTGGAAAACCAATAATATCCACGGTCGACCGTCTTTTCATCAAATATAATAGTCTCTTAAACAACGTCTCTGATTCATTAAGCATTATAACAATCAAACTAATGAAATTGATTATTTGATCTTGTCTTTAATCTGTACGTCTCAAACTTTTCGGAAAAACAGCCGGTACCTAAATGTTATGCAAAATTTGAGGAATTTAAATTACTTTGTATTTACGGAGTTTTCATGAATTTAAAATGTCTGAGTTACAATGAAAATGAAATTATTTTATTTCCGTCTGTTTTGTTAGTAAGTTAGTGTATATTAAAATCTCTTTTCCATTATGGAATACACTTTTATGCACAGAATGAATTATGACTTTGGGAAGAAGATAATGAGATCACTGTTAAAAGGTTAACAGTTGTGTAGATAATCCCTGTAAATAAAAATTTCCGTAATAAATGTTGACATTCTTATTTAGCTTGAGTGAGATTAACTTTTCTTTGACATTTGATATTTTGATACAGTTCTGTTTGTTTGTTTGCTTAGTTATTGATACGGTTCATCATAACTAACCAATAAATATGTTTCAACAGTTATTTATATGTAACAAAAATGAATGTCATTTTCCCAGCTACAATGATTATTTCATTGAATACACAACAGGGTTTTATAACTTACTCGAAGATTTATGATGAAAAAAATATGACATAAGGAAATACTTTCTTCTCTTCAATTTTAAATT